TATTTTTGCCATGATTAGATTATATGACCAAGATTATATGGCCCTTCATTTACCACCCGAGGACGAGCATGAATTAAGCTTGGGGTGCTGATACATCCCCAATGTATCTATAATTTTTGATTATTTCATGCTATTATACTATCAACCCTAGATACTTTATATGCATTTATGCTATTTTATATCATTTTGGGAACTAACTATTAATTGAGTGCCTAGTGCCAGTTGTTGTGTTCAGCTTGTTTTGGTTTTCCAGAAAATCAGTACCAAATGGAATCCAAATGCTATGAAACTTTTTGACGATTTTTTATGGACATAAGATACCCTAGAAGCTTCGGGAGGAGTTCAGAGGACAAACGAGGAGATAACAAGGCAACATGGGGCGCCCAGGGGGCACCCTATTACCTTCTGGGCCCCACGAGGCTCCGTTTGACCTAATTCCACTTCTATAAATTCTAAAATATTGAGAAACCCCCAGGGAGCCACCCGAAACACTTTTTTTGCCGCCGTAAGCTTATGCTCTTTCGTGATCCCATCTGGAGGCCTTTTCCAGTACTCTCTCGGAGGGGCAATTAATCACAAAGTGCTTCTACATCATCCTTGCTGCCTTCCGATGATGCGTGAGTAGTTCACCACAGAACTATGGGTCCATAGATAGTATCTAAGATCGCTTCTTCTCTCTTTTTGATCTTCAATAAAATGTTCTCCTCGATCTTCTTGGAGTTCTATCCGATGCAATCTTCTTTTGTGGTGTGTTTGTTGGGATCTGATGAATTGTGGGTTTATGATCAGATTATTCATTGAAAGTAATTGAGTCTTTTCTGAACTTTATTATGCATGATTATGATAGCTTTGTATTTCTCTCCGATCTATCCATTTGGTTTGCCAAACTAGATAGATTTATCTTCAGTACGAGAGGTGCTTTGTAGTGGGTTCAATCTTACGGTGTCCTCACCCAGTGACCGAAGAGGTAGTAAGGCACGTATTTTATTGTTGCCACTAAGGATAAAACGACGGGGTTTATTCATATTGATTGGGGTTAGTTTGTCTACATCATGTCATCTTGCTCAAAGCTTTAATTACTCTGTTTGTCATAAAATTAATACCATAGATGCATGCTGGATAGCGGTTGATTGGTGGAGTAATGGTAGTAGATGCAGGTAGGAGTTGGTCTACTTGTCACGCATGATGCCTATATCTATGATCATTGCCATGAATACGTCATAGCTATGCGCTTTTCTATCAATTGCCCAACAGTAATTTGTCTAGCCACCGTATGCTATGTATTCGAGAGAGAAGCTTCTAGTGAAAATTATGGCCCCGGGGTCTACTTTAATCATATTGTAAAATTCGAAAATACCGTGCTGCAATTTTATACTTTTATTTTACTAGCACATATGCCCGTGCATTGCAACGGGAGAGATAATATTAAACACATAATTTTTTTGAAATTTACAAACTTTTTTTGGAAAACATGAACCTTTTATAAAATCACTAATATTTTTTCAATTGGTGATTTAAAAAAAATCACGAACATGTTTTCAACATTCAGAACAATTTTAGAAAATGGGTTTTTCAAACGCGAACAATATTTCCAATTTGTGAATATTTCAGTAAAACATGAATGTTTTTCAAATTTTTAACATTTTTTAAATGCAATTGTTTTTTTAAATCTCAAGCAAATTTAGAAAAAAAACTATAATTTTCGAATTTTGAACAACTTTTGGAGCAAGAAAAACAAAATTCATAAATAATAATTCCAAAAAGTATTTGTTTCAAATATCTGAAAAGTTTTCAGAAATTGAACCAAAATTGAAATTCTGAATATTTTGTATTTACAAAAAAAGTTGAAATAAAAAGGAAAATAATAAGTAAAGAAAAAAAATAAAATGGGTCGGCCTAGTCTTGGGTGCCCTATGCGAAGCCATGACTATATGGCGCACAGTGCGGCAAATAGTGTTTTCCCCACTACGTGGGTAGTAAATTAAGTGGGCAGGTTTCACTGGGCCAGAGCGCACGTGGCCCAGATACGAAATTCTAGACAAACCATTATTCTTTTCTAAGAGACAGATGCCAGGGGTTTGAAACTCCTTTTCAAAAAAAGATCCTTGGATGTAGCATATATTTACTTGTATGTAGAGGCCAGGGGTTTGAAACTCCTTTTCAAAAAAAGAAAAGAAAAAAAACTAAGAAATAGCTCCCTAGAAACAGATAATTACTTGTAGCATATAATTGTACTTCATAGTTGTATTCTTCCTTGTAATTACTTTTTTCTGCATTTGTATGTTAGTATAATATTGCTATCCGATCACTGCCATCAAAGAGTGCAACTTGTATATCTAGAGTACAATTTGTTAGATAAGGTTGGGGTTTAGCCAATAAGCTAGCACTGGTAGTAAAATTGCTCATGCATGTGCATTTACTGACGATAGTAGTCCTAGTCACAGTTATGTCAATATAAGGGAAATGTTGACCTACTCCTAAGCATCAAACTATTTTCTGGGAAGGCACCAAGCAAGTAAAAAACTAAAACTTTGTTACAAATTGTAATTCTATTAAACCACGAAAGCTACCAATTGTACATGTTCTAAGACAAACTTTAGATGAAGGAAATAACAAAGGGGTATATGTTCTAATTCTTGGCAAGTAATGAAGTGTTGCGACTTTTGTTCATTTAATTAATGGTTCATCATCCATGAATGAGGCTATTTATATATTGTTGCTTTACATGACTCAAGAGTTGAACCCAAGGAAGAAGAATATGCCAAAGAAGATGCTAACGAAGGGGTATATGTTCATTGAACAATTTTTGTAAAGCTCCCTGCAAAAGCTCCTCTACCCACCTAGATGAAAGCATTGTAATCTTCTCATTCTGACCTATATTTTTTTCATGTTTTTGAAGTAATAATTTGTCAAATTGGTATGGATGTTCTTATATATGCATGTACATGTCCTGAAACTCATGTTGCTGAGGAAAGAATTCTCCCGATCAACGAAGAAACTATTGTGGGCAGGGAGTCCCTAGGTCTGGGGATTTATGAGGTTCTTGTCAATGTTGCAATCATAAGGGACGCCATGCAGACTTATCAATATGATGGTTTATGATATTTCAGTGATGTTGTCACAAAGTCCATTGCATGGGCATCTAGCAAAGTAATCACCAACCTATTTGTTTTCAGCACTTAGCTTGTATTATTTGTTGTGCGATGTTGTTTAGTTATTAATCTACTATAATAGTTGATCCCCATTAAGTCTAGTTCTCTGAACATGTGTCCTTCCATCTCACAAGTATGCCATGCCAGCATCCACTAACACTAGTTTACGACCCCATGCAGATCACATGCATACTCTTTGTTCACACATAGTGCAAGTATGCAATATTTCTACGTTAAAAACAACAACTCTTGATTTAGATCATTTCCTTCATTTATAATACATTTCAAATTAATCTCAAGTTCCTGCCACAACACGCGGGGAAATCGCCTAGTTTCCCAAATGAAGCCCTACAAGCCCGCATTATCTTACTTATCCTGGCACTAAGGTATTTCTATCAATTAGCTACGGAATTTTGTCTATGCGTACCAAACCCACTAAGGCATGGTACCATGATTATCTTATTAACAAGTAAGAGAAAGCTAGGGGTTCCCAGAGCTTAAATAGTATCTAAGTGGCTACTAAATGCACTCATAAAATTAACCTCCTTACTTAATATTTTAACATTTTGCTTTACTGTCGTGGTGTATGTTTGCTAATGAATTTGATCCAATATGATGCTTGTCAAAGGAGAATCTCCACCGCCTCCACCTTGCACTAGATTTGTAGACAATGTGACATGATTATGTGTAATTATTAGAAAAATGCGACATGATTATGTGCGTTGTGCTTTGTTGTGATCTTGTTATAATTCTAAATTAGTTTGGTTTGGTTGATAAACATATACTATAGTTGTTCTTTTACCAGGTGTTTGACTTGCTTTGTGTTGTGAATAGCAATAGAGACCATTATTCTTGATCTTTTCTAGTGTATTCGTTCATCTTCCATCCTCCCTCTTTTGTACCGTTGTACTATATGGGATTAAGGGCTCTAGTGCAACATATGTGCTCCTAAATCACTTTTTATTGTTGGAACTATAACTCCTAAAATGAAACTGGAAGATATATTCAATAGTGTCTTCATCATCCATAAACTGGAACAAGATTGAAAGTGACGTGTATTATGATCTGCGAGCACGAGGAGCTACCCATCATTTTTGGTATCATCTGGATGGTTTGTGTAATGGAGAAATTCTATCTCATTGGGCATGCATATTTTGCCTATCATTTTGTAAACCTGACGTATGTGGTGAACATGTGGAGAAACAGATGAACAATATGTGTGAGAATTAATGTATGCCCATTATCATTCGGTTGTGGTTTAATATTTTGGAGGATATGCATACTAATATTTTGAATCCATACTATTTTGGCATAAAATTTCATGGTTGCTTGGTCAGTGTGGCCATTACCAAATATCTAGATGTAAATTTAATGTTATATTTGCCTGTGAAGGTCAATGTTTGTTGGCAAAGAAATCGATGTCACACAGTCATCCAGGAAAATCTCACAACTAGACAATAGAAGGTTGGTTGGTCAAGGTTATGTTGTCGGATTGTCGATCGACAAATGGTTGAAACTAATGTCCATCGCCAAAAATATATTGGTCGGGAAACCTGATACACCAATGAAAAATTGCCGGTCAGTAAAGAAATGTCGGTTGGGAAAGACCTTTCCCGACTTTACTTTCACTAACAGTATGGGTCGGTCGGCAGAACCCTTCACCTACCGACTTACTCTATGTGAAAGTTGTTTTCCCGGCCAATGTGAATGTCGAGGATCTAGTGTTGTGGTAGTGTTTTTCAGTTTAAAAAATTTAAGAGGTTAATGTGTCGCTGTCTTTCTACTAATATGGTTCTAAGACATCAATACTCTAAAATAGTAACAACTGAGGGAATAGTGTACACTCACCATAAAAATCATGTTGTTTAATGAGATCAAGAAGGTTGTAGTATATATCAAGATAAGCAAACCTTGAATCATGAACATTTCGTTCTGCATTTAATCGTTCAATTTCCTTTTCTATTCCAGAATTGAATAATTCTGCTGCTTGATTCTGAAGCGTGTCACATTCTCTTGATCCATGTTTTCTTTGGGACGGACAACATCCAATTGGCGGAATGCCGAAGAATCCAATCCTCTTTGCACCAAAATCATTTAATTTCTATATAGAAGAGAATGTCAGACTGATTTCCTCTTAAATATAGGTGACCCAGTAGAATTTAAATCAATGGAAAATATAGGAACAATGAAAATGCAAGTAGGCACGTGTAAATCATTTATGAAACCCTTATAAGGTAATAATTATAAAACATTCCTATATATGCTGAAATAATTTCTCAGAGAATTCAATGTTACTCAAAAATCTAGTAAATTCACAAGTACATAAATTATATATACTAGATGACACCCCACACGTTGCATCGGATTTTTGTAGAAACTAAAAGCTCTAAGCAACATGAAGTAAATGACCGTGTGATATGCATTCAATCCGTCAGGGTAGATGTGTTAGAAACATTGATTAGCAAACAGACATATTATTTACTTGGAATGTACCTTGAAGTACCATACTATTTGTTATTTCCAGGTCCAAATAACCATGACATTCCTAAATAAAAATTACCTAAGTTCATCATATGTGCCCTCACTTTCCAGTTGAAAGGGAGTTAGAGAAAAAATCACATTGTGGTGCGGAAGATGGGAAGTGGGTACGGACTGGAGGAGGCATGCATGCAATTAGTTACTAAAGCTAATAGGGAAGGACAACATCCAATTGGCGGAATGCCGAAGAATCCAATCCTCTTTGCACCAATATCATTTAATTTCAATATAGAAGAGAATGTTAGACTTACCCCCCCCCCCCTAAATACATGTGACCTGGTTGAATGTAAATCAATGGAAACTATTAGGAATATCGAAAATGCTAGTAGGTGAGTGTAAATCATTTATGAAACCCCGATAAGGCAATAATTATAAAACATTTCTATATATACTGAAACAATTGCTTAGAGAATTCAATGTTATACAAAAAGTCAACAATCTAGTAAATTCACAAACACATAAATTATGTATACTAGATGACACCCTACATATTGGATTGGATATTTGTAGAAACTAAAATATCTAAGCAACATGAAGTAAACGACTGTGTGACATGCATTCAATCCTTCGACGTAGATGTTTAGAAACTTTGATTGGCAAATAAACAATATTATTTAGTTGGAATGTTTAAGTACCATACTACTTTTTATTTCCAGGTAGAGCAAACAACTGTGACACTCCTAAATACAAATTATCTAAATTCACCATATGTGCCCTCACTTACCAGTTGAAAGGGAGTTAGAGAAAAAAAATCACATTGTGGTGCGGGAGATGGGAAGTATGGACTGGAGGAGGCATGCATGCAATTAACTAGTAAAGCTAATAAGGGTGATGTGGTAATTGTGATGAGGTGCCATAGCTGCATGTGCTCAAAAACAAGTTAGCGAGGGCTATCTATTTAGATATAGAATATTTGTGATGGAATTGAAGGGAAGCTTTACATGTACTATAAAAGTAATGGTTCATAGGAGTCTCGTGGAAATATGCATAACTTTAAAAACTTCAATAACATTTTTTTACGGAGAAAGAGAGAGTCAACTTAGTTTATGTCGAACAACTATAACCTCAAAATTTAATATCCCTTACCATAGTAAAATTTACCGCGGAAGAGATAAGAAAATTCACGTAGGAAGGAAGATCATATTGATGGCGCCTCAGTGGAATTGAAAAATAATTATTTGCAATGTCATTTGCACCCATGGCAGTAAAGTAAATGCCTTCAGAGATAACACGTGTGGCTTCCTCCTCTCCGACTAAAGTTTTTAGCTTCTCCTTATATTCAAGAAATAATTCAAGTTGCCCAGTACTTGAAGTAGCAGTCTGAAGCATGAGAGAATAGTATTTCCAAATTATGATAACAAGATTAATTTCAAGTTAAATTGAAAATAAATATAACAAAAACTATATTTTGAGGTGCATGTGTTACGATTGTTTACTGCGGGTATTGAAGTTAAGGGGTCATATCCACTGCCTCCAGAGGCAAATGCGACACCAGTAAGTAGGTCACTTAGTTCAAGATCATCTCCATTGTACGGTGGTAAGAACTCTTTGACTCCTAATTTAGAATCTGTTTAATCAAGAAAGAAAATTTAATTAGTGATGTTTTTACATGATCTAATACCGTAATCTTTGTGTATAGATAAATTTCCAGTCTATTAGAGAGTTTAAATTCATAAATAGTTCTTCTAAAAAGTAACCCTTTTAGGGGCATAAAACTTGCATACATAGGTAGGTACATCTTTGGATATTGTGAAAACTAATTTCAGTCGACATCATAAGCATTAAGAATAATTTGGAAGGAAATCATTATATATTTTGGAACGGGTCGTGTGGTTTCAACAGAAACTTCAAACGATAAATTATTTTTGATGAGTACAATTTTATGTTGCGGGTGGATGACTATGATTTATGAAGAAGAAAACTGCATATTTTTCATTAGAACTTTTAGTGTCACACACACATGCATATTTAGACGATACCCCACACAATGGTACGGGAATCCTATTAAAAATGCATAAATAAGCTCTAGAAAAACTAAAAGGAATGTAAAATTATTTTACATGGCTTAGTTCCCCTAAAAAATGGCATGCATGAGGTAATGAGGTGGCATGTTTTGTATGAACAAATTAATGCAAAAGATGACTATATCATGACTTGGAGATGTGGAATTGTTGCATGGAAAGAAAATTTAGACAATCGATTGCAAATATTTAAGAATAGATGATTATGTGTGCACATTTTCTTTTAGAAATAAAGTTGTTTACCATGAATGAGCTGAGTATTGCATCCTCTGAAATGGCAAAAAACCAACAAGGACAAGAATAAAGCGAGAAGGAGAGAGAGCGGGTACTCCCAAATCTCCGATAGCGAAGTTTTAGTGGACGGGTGCATCGGATGGCTTTATTTCAAATGATTCAGAATTATATTTGCAAGTTTCAAAAAAATAAAAATAAAAATCTGTGAAAACTTATACATCTTCGCGACGGATCTGTAAAATTTCGTTCAAAAATGTTATAATTTTCAAGCTACAAAAAAACCAGCACAACAATAAAAATGGCCCATATTCATGTACACATTTAATTTTTTGTCTACGCTACATATGGAAGTATATTTTTATGAAAATTCCCCTGAACGTGTTATATATGTATTTGTGCATGTACAAAAAAGTTTTGGTTTTTTGTAATGTAGAACTATTTTTTTGAAGTCCTCCAAGTGCACCTATCTACTGTTTGCATTTTGGCAAATCTGCCACCTATGTAAGTGGCTTTGTTAAAACACGTGTTTTCCTCACATGGCTTTGTTGCGGCTTTCTGCTCGAAATCAAAATGAATACGAAATAAACATATTTGGATGGTATGAAAGAGGGAAAAAAGGTTGCTTCCCATGCTTAATTCCAGGACTTTTTTGTTAAAACAAATCAGGGTGGACACAACTGTAGAACCAATGATGAAATGTTTTTTACACTTTAATGGTTTAACCAGTAACTATGACTATTCTTTTTATGCATATATGAGGAAATTATGTTTCTTAGCTATTATATTGAATAAGTACTGTGGGTTCATTTTTTATACAAACATGTGTAAGGAGTTCAAGAATATATTTTTCCTAATCAACATATATATTTTTGCAAGTATTCCTGCCTATAAAAAAAGTGGAAACTCAAACTACCTCTTCGAGTGAAGATATTTCCCTGATTTTTAATGGAGGTGTGATCTTAACTAGCATAGTTTGACGCACCATAGTTGGTAAGGTAGTAAAAATTGTTTCTTGCCAACATGACGAGACTATTAGACACCTATTTTTGAGTGTAAGTTCGCTCTGCAGTGTGGGTCATAGTTCAAGTGGCTTCAAACCTTTGTCCCTCATGTAGTGCGTGTAATATGTTCGACGACTAGTAGCATGGTATTGGCAAACAAATTTCTGCACATAATTGTGAGGGTGGCAATCTTATGTTGGGCACTATGTCTTACTAGGGCTGGTGTGTGTGTTTTTAACAAGAAAGGTGTTTAATTTCCTATCTAGGTTAATCATTTCATGTACATGATGACTCTTTACTTCTATTTTGTAGAGGACGGAGGACAGAGACCTTTTGATGACGGCTTCTACCCAGTTAGATCATATGACTAGGCATGTTTTCTTCTCATCATAGATGGTGAGTTAATCTTTGGATATGATTTACGCCATCTTAGGCTACCTTTTATTTCGCTATACAATGGAACTTTGCGTTATGTTGAACACATTGAATGTGTGCATCATGTTATGCAGAGGTCGGGCATTCGTTTAGTGTAGTTGTATCATTTTGATATATCGATCAAATGAAATGGTTCTTAATAAAAAAGAATGACGGAATATTTTACGTGCAATTTAATGTTTTTCTATTGTAACACTAAACTAGGTTTAGTTGGTACTTGCATGGCAAGGGAGTTCATATCATTGAACAAGGTGCCTCGGTTTAATTGGGAAATGAGCAAGTTGCATTTAGGTCCTATTTTTCCTCCATAATAATGCATGGGCATTCAAGTATATCATCTATATATTTTTACTTAAACAAATACATGCACTACACATATATTATGTTGTAACAATAGGAGGGAAATGTTGAATGAAATTTCTGGTTGACTTGATTTTCCATAGTATCACCTCAACATATCACCCATGCATTGAGTGGGTTTCCGTTGTAATGCGTTGACTCTTACCTAGTATGAAATAAACACTTCTATGATTATGTACCATGCATTAATGAAATTTCTACGAAGATGTCGACCGACATGGGTTAGATGAAATTTTGACGGAGCATCATACTACAACAAGCCCATTAAATGGTGCTCACTGTTGGAATTAATTAGGATGTGACATAAGAACCGCCGACTTCGGAATTCCTCCATCAAGTTGCTTTTGTTTTAATTTCTTTGCAATTTTTAATTTAAAACTCTGGTACACAAGTGTGTCTGCTACCTTTTCATCTCATGTATATGCTAACATTTTCGAAAATCGGTAAAATTTGCAGGGGTTACTTTGAGACGGCAGTAAAGCCAACGAATTTAAAACACACTCGTCAATTAGGGTGCGGTCGTGTTAGCATGTGTAAAGTGTACATATCCCACATTGCTTGATCCCACTCAAACTCCGTTATAAAAACTTTAACAAGGTAGACGATTAAACTGTTGCAGTAGGTATATTGTTCTGTATACCTCAAAATTATGTAAGAAGTCAGGTTTCCAACCTTTCTCTTTTCCTTCGTAATTGTCAGGCTCCAACCTGGAATGTTTATTCACCAATGTAGAGAGGCAACCATAGTTTTTGAAAGGTGGCAAAAGATTTGACACATTCATTAATTAAGAAGAGAATTAAACAGGCTGTACATCCGAAGGTGAAAAAGGAAAAGAAAAATAAGTCTACTTTCCTGGCAATATAAAACCCAAGTGTTTCGTCTATGCGGCTACCCACAATACAGACTACTTGAGGGTATGCGAGAAAATGATCTAAGTGAGTGAGTGCTTGTTGTTGAAGACCCTTGCGTTATACTCGTTCCATATGTCCCAAGTTACAAGCATGGCAACAGAAGCCACCGCTTTACGCTTAGATATATCTTGATAGATGAGAGAGTATTTAACAAAAAGAAAAGTACCACAATTCATGGAACTGTGACTACAAACTACCACTTTACAAATTTATGCCGAAAACTATCATTTTCTCACTAATCCTTGACTAAAAACTACCAAGTCTGAAAAAAGCCCGATTCGCTTCTTTTAAACGCGTTTCTGACTAGTTGAACCCACACGTCAGTGTCTATCTTCTTGCTCCTCCTATATCTCTCTTAGGCATTTCAACAAACACCTCGTCTTCGTGCCCCACGGCGGGGAGCTCGCCGGCGAGGTAGTTGTTGGCGAGGCCCAGCACAGCGAGCCCGGGCGCCCTGAGGAGCGCAGCGGGGAGCCAGCCCGCGAGCGCGTTGTCGGAGAGGTTGAGCTCCTGGAGCGCCCGCGCGTAGGACGCGTCGGGGAGCGCGCCGGAGAGGTCGTTGCCGGCGAGCGAGAGCACGCGCAGCTCGGTGGCTGGCTCATCCAACCCCCGGCGGACCCTCCTCCTCCTTCTCCCCCTCTGGCCGGAGCACGGCCTCCAGCAGGGCGGCGGTGCGCCCCTCCATTGCACGCGGCGGCGCTCCTCTGGCCAGAGCGCGGCGGTGCACCCCAGAGCACGACGGCGGTGCACCCCTCGGCGCCGGCCGGCAAGGCAAGGAGCAGCAGCAACGGCGGCCGGCAAAGAATAGCAGCAGGGAGCAGCGGGCGCGGGCGACAAGGAGTAGCAGGGAGCAGCCGGCGCGGGTGGCAAGGAGTAGCAGGAGCAGCAAGCGCGGCCGGGCGCGACCATGGCTGAGCTCGAGCCGGGCGCGGCGGCGGCCATGACTAGCGCGGCCGCTGTCCAAACCTGGTTTTGGGTGATGAGCCACGCAAGAATCTTGCACTTTGAAGGCTCCCAAATTTTTCAGGAAACCATAGTAACTTTGTGCAGCCCAGGAATATGGTAGATTTTACCTCGGGATCCACAAGAAATGCACTTAATTTTCTCCCTCAATTGCAGCTTAATTAATGCAACTGCTTGGTCGATGTTCAACGTGGATCATCTGGCGAGGGATGGAGGGAGAGTACTCTACGAAGGTAGGGAGAGAGCTAGCTCGATGATGAGCAAGGACTGGCGCCCAAAGGAAGAGTTGGTTTTTTTCGTCCATCTTGCATTTGGTGGTCCATCTACGAAATAATTAAGATGGTACGTCCGTCCGTGGACTAATCGGCGATGCTGGACATGCATTAGGATTTAGCTGCTGCGATTTGTTTAAATTTCCACCTTCCATTCATGTGAGTAGGACTTGAGTGCACAAAAAATCCATCACGTACGGCATTTTGTGAGGGCGTGGCGTGTTGGAAATTTACCAGTCCTGCTATGTTTCTTATTTCCGGAAAAAAAAGAGGATTTGTTTTTAACTTTTTTAACACATTATAATCATAGATGCTCACATACAAGCATATCGCTCCAGAAAGTTTGAAGTAAATCCAGAAAAATAGGAGCGCCAATGTCAAATTTAGAATTTGAAATCTGGTGGATTAGATCAACCGCAAGGATCTAACCATTTCTGAGCTATGCTCAATTTTGTCGCTGGGGATACCAAGAAGCAAGGCTAAAACGAAGCTAGGGCTGAAGAAAATTGCGTAGCGGAGTAGCGACCGTGATTCATTTGAGTTGCAGAAGACATCAACGCGCGCATGGATTCAGAGTAACAACAACGCAAAGAGCCAAGGGACGGAGGGGCCAGCGGGAACGTCGGAACAAATGAGGAGAACGTGCATCTTTTCATGTTCAGAGCATGGTTAATAATATAGTCAGCTGCCGGCTATATAATAGTGCTACGTCATATATAGCCAAGCTTATAGCCGGCAAGTACAATAGCTGGATATAAATATATACTACTTTGTTGATACATGGCTCACCTCGCTCTCTCACAAAGTGTCTAGGAGCACGTGTTACAGCCGGTTGTTAACTAGTAGCATGCTTCTCTTCTCTTTCCTCTTCTCTCTTTTTTAACTAAGTAAAAATATAATATTTAATGTCTTACAGTCCGTCTACATCATTTTATTGTAGTTGCCCTCATGTGAGGATAGAGCCATATAGAGGAGTTCTTTTACAGTATCCTTAGTTTAATATGAGGCATTCATTTGTTGAGATCCAACGGGTGCGCTTAAATGGTCATTAAAGAGGCAGTACTCCATAGCATCAAGGAGTACTGCAACTAAATACCACGGAGTACCTTAATTCATCTACAAGAGCTAGCGCTAGATCAGATCCAAAATTTTATGACTAGTATGTTGCTATTCCCGTAGTTAGCTGCAGCTAGTTCTTTGATGGTGCACCAATTAGAGTGCTTTGATCGTGCTCCAATGTATACACCTTCGATAATGTGTCTGCGAGTTCTTCGATCATGTACCAACGTATGCTCCTTTCTTCCGCTAGTGAAGAGAAACACAAAATCATGCAGCCATGAACGATTCAACAAGGATTTCTGAATCACGTTACTTTATTACCAATCAATACTTGGTCATATGGGAATTCATGATCAGCAAACCACAGGGACGGCCGATTTGTGTTCAGCAACGCCGTCAGATTCGTTTATAACAAAGGCGACCGATTTCAGAAACCTAGATGGCGGCGGCGGTCATTGCGGCGGCGCCGTTACCACAAGTTGATTGGGATTAGGTTACTCAACCACCACGTGGACTGCAGAAGGTCTCTAATGCCCTTCATTATTAACGGCTGGATTTAGTTGGTACTCCACATAGACCTTGGGAAGTACCAGGGTACGTGTACAGTTAGGATTAAAAAAAACTTCCGTAAAAAATAATTAAAAAAAGAATGTGCCTAGATTTGAGTCTATTGAGATTAACCAAGTCTCAGTCAAATGACATATAAAAAGAGAAAAAATCTTTTTAGAAAAATGTACGGATTTCCGCATAAAATCTCATAAATATAGCATCCACTGAGACTTAGTTAACTCTCAGTCGATAAAGATTTAACAACTTGAGAAGCTTGTGCACAGCCATGCGAGACGACGCCAAATTCTAGTTAGCTAACCGGGCTGGTGAAACTCTGCTCTACGTCAAGTTCAGACCTCTTTCCCCCAAAATGGGAAGTTCTCAGACCTCTTTGTGCTGGCCTCGGTGCTGGACATTCTCACCAAGGATGCTTTTAGGGGCAGCAAGCAAACATCACCTTCAAGCGCCACCCCAATCCCTGTGAAATTAGCTTTGCGGTAAGCTTTCAAAACGGGCCTTGCACACTAAATTTATCATCGGTATGGTGCTAAGAGGTAGAAACCTCGGGCTTCTTCTCGCCCAAATCCATGTACACTAATTTATCACCTGTCCTTCCATGCGGCATGGTAAAACCCTATGATAGATGGCTATGTTTTCTGCCTTTCATTGGCTGTGTTGCTGATCTGCCACGTCTTTCGTGGCTTTAGGGCCATGGGTGCGCGGTGAATTCCGGCCCTTACCGAAGGAAGGGCTCTATTTTTAGGTGCTTCTTCAAGTTTTATTAGGATTTGTGTCATGCTCAGAAAGACGAGACGGCGGCGGCTTCTTGTAGATGAAATAAGGTCCTCCCCGCCTAGCCCCGCGGTGGTTCATCTAGCATCGTCGGAGGGTGTGTGGCGGCGTGTCACTAGCGGATCTCGCGAGAGTCGGTCGGTGGTTGTCTTTGGTGGATTTGCTCAGATCCAGTCTTTGTTCGTCTTTGTTCATGTGTCTTCAGGTTGGATCCTTCCGATCTAACCTTCTTTCCATCAGCGACGGTTGCTATTTTGATGCGTTGGTCCTATGGGACCTTAGCACGATGACTTTTTGACTGTCTACTACAACAAGTTGTGCCCGGCTCCAGCAAGGGAGGGGCGATGACTGTGGCGCACCTTCGGCTCACTTTAGTGCGTTTAGTCCTTGCTAGGTGGTCTACGAATCTGAATGTAATTTTTTATTATTTCTGATATCCGTTGTATAGCCATGATTAATAATTAATAGATGAGCAATGCTAGACGTACGGGAAGTTACATGGAGTTTACAGGGCTGATGGGCTGTGATTGGCAGAGATTTAATTAGGTGGGCGGGCCCACCCATGAAAATCAGGGGGGGAGGGGCAATTAGATGAGGCCACATTCTCTCCCTGTGAAGTATTGTATCAATCAGCCTGTACATCTAGTATTATTGTTAATAGATTAAAAATTTCTCAAAAAAGAAACCTGTGATAGACTAGTAATCCTACACCTACGGAACTGTTACATGCAATTTACGTAACCTTCCTCCGAATTCATTCATACCTGCTTTGGATACTAACGGGTCTTCAAAGGCAAAACTGTAGAATTGCTTGGAGGGTGTTTGTAGCATTTGCTTGGTCACTTTTTTTTGGACCTCGACCATGCGGATCTCAATTTCTTTAAAAAGAAGAATAAAGTTGTCCGGTTAACCAACAGAAAACCGACAAAAAATGTTACGAAACACACACACCCCGACCGACATGGTGTTCATAAGACCTATACACACCGCCGAGGAAAAGACACCGTCAAAATTGTTTGCATTGTGTCATCATCTCTCCCCGAGCAAGCGACTCAAAATTTGTCACGGAGGACCCGTCAAGACCTCCAAATGAACGGACCTTATCGGCCAAAGCCAAACAATCAGCCGGCAACATCGGGGACAAGGAAGCTTCGACTTTGATGACCACTTTGGACATGTCGTAATAAACTTGTGGCTGAAAGAGTTATTTCGAATCAACCCGCTAGCTACTTATTTACACCATCTATTTTCTTTCAGCCGTGGTTTTCGTTGGAAAAGATCAATGATTAGACACTGGCGAGGACGGTGCTGAACATGATCAGAGCCATCCACGGCTAGAGCATATAAGATGCTTAGCTTGTTCTGCTCGTCACCTTTCTGTTTTTAGTTTTTTTTAAGTTACTGTGTACACTATTGCTCCTTTCTTGAGTCATATCTTGTAATATGTTTATTTTGTATTCTGGCCAGTGTATAAACTGTTCAATGATACTGGTTTATGAGTGATGAATAGTTCGTAAGTTTTCTCAGGAAAAAACAACCAGCCTTGCATTGTTGCGGCATGGTCGAAACAAAACATTCATCTCGGTCAATGGATTTATATAAATATTGTCTTGTAGCAGGGCACAGAGCGTAGTTATAGTTATGTCCGTACGTACCTAGCATGTCCCCAGGAACCCTGCCATTGGAGAACCTCCCGGTGGCCTTCCCGCCAGGGAAGTCCTGCCCGTACGGCGGGAAGTTGGCCCTCGCCTCCGTCAGCCGGTTGTTGTTGTTGCCTGGATCGACGATCGAGTCGCCGAACATGAAGACGGCTGAGATCTTGCTCTTACCCGTGCCTACTGCTCCATCGGCGCGCGAGAGATGCGCCATCACCACCAGCAGCATGCTGCTCAGCAGCGCATGGCCAGGCATTGTACTTGCGTGCGTGCGTGCGTGTACAATGTATTAGCGGTATATGCTCCGGAGTCCTGGCACAGGCGCGATGGATCGCACTGCACGGGAGCATTTTTATATAGCGAGGTATGGAGCCGATCGGAATACATGCGCGCGCGCACCGATGATGGATGCATACGGTTGGTTGCTCATCGCGTGCATTGAATAGTAATGCTCTCTGTCGTAGTACTCCTACCAGACGGGCCGATTTAATGTATGATGGCGAAAAGAAAAAAATTATACTTCCTCCATTCCATAATGTAGTGCTTTCTCTATCTCCGTGCTTCAACTTTGACCGTAACTTTAACTATCAAGACCAATTGCGGCGGGAGCAAAAGTTATATCAGTGAATTCGTATTCGAAAGAAGTTTTTAATTATGTAACTTTTTCTCCCGCCGCAGTCGGTCTCGTTCGTTAAATTTATGGTCAAAGTTCAACCTTGGAAAGCGCGGGCGCACTATATTTTGAAATGGAGGAAGTACTACCAGGCCACCAACCTCCATGATATGCTCTACACTGTAGTGCAAGCTGATCGGTAGCTTATCGCGATCTCATCCGTGGAAAGGGACTCGCTGGCTACCAAACCTACCGACCGATCGAATATAGCGGTGCGAACCGACCCAAGGAGAACCAGTCGGTCAGCCGTCGACCCATACAGCGGCGGCTTGGGCTACAGGCGCAAGAGCTCCGTCGCCTGACAGCGTTATCCTCTTCTCATCCTGTAGACTGTAGTATAGGAATGGTCCACCGCTCCACAGGGTACGTCGACACCACCCTACTGATTAGTTTCCCGAAATCACTGATTGAATGATACCCTTTGCAAAAGATTATTCTCATCTTCCCTGGTGACTACAAATAACGTTTGTACGTGAAGTTTTGGAGATATTTCATTCCCTGCCCATGAGGGATGAGAAAATGGACGAGTGAGTTTATCTGTGTGTTTTCCGTAGATTTGATTTTTCAGAACGACGTCGCTTGAATCTTGCGTTCAAATCACAAACAGTTTCTCTTGATGTGCTCCTCATATCAAGATTTTCAAAATCAAAGCTCATGTTAAATATATTTGGAAGAAGAGGAGAAAGTACATGCCCTAGGGCCACCATCAAGAGTTCGGGCAGTGCTGCATGTTGCCACACAAAACGCAACATGAATCAGATAAGAAAGTGCCTGGTTAGGTTCTAGGGGTCTATGCATCAGGTTGTAGATCTTGCACTTCTGTGCTGCATTCCAGAGCTCGATGTCCTTTTTTGATTATCAGGTGCTGCTGCGCCGGAGTAGAAGAGATGCCCTAGAATATCCGATTGTTGCGCTCCTTCAAGTGTGCCACCAGACGAGGTTTAGCAGTGATGTTATATATATTTTGATAAATCTTTTTCAGAAAATGCTCTCAAAGTGAATTAACATGTGCTTTTGAATTGTATTAATTCGTGCTTTCTAGTGAAACTAACTTGTGCTATCGTACGGTGAAGCACAACAGTGCTCTCCGAGAAAGCACACATGTGCTCCCTTCCCAAGTAAACTGTAACTTGTGATTTCCCGTGCATGGTGAAGCGCACAGGTGCTCCACCCAAGACAGACATGTGCTCCAGCGTGAAGCACATAAATCACAATATACCACTACTTCAGCGCGAGGCATACATGTGCTTACCAAGTAAACTAGTGATTTCCCACGCGTGGTGACGCGCAAATATGCTTCACTTGGAAGCCACAATACACCCGTACTTCCGTGCGAAGCACATATGTGCTCCATGTGAAAGCACATTTGCGCTCCATGCAGGAACACAATACACCCGTGCTTATACCTGGCCATACCTCGGGCCGGGCCTAGACAAGCCCAACGAAAAAAACCCAGGCCCGAGCCCGGCCTGGCCCGGCCATTGGGCCTGTTTTCTGGGCCCGAGCCCGGCCTGAACACGTAAAAGCCCGTCGGGCTCCGGGCCGGCCCGGCCCGACCTTCAGAGAAATGCGAAAACAACGGGCCCGGGCCGGCTCGGCCCGGCCTTCGAGCTCAAAATCTAGGCCCGAGCCCGGCCCGGGGGCAACGTCGGGCCGGGTCGGATCGGGCTTTTTCGGGCTGGGCCGGCCGGGCCGGGCTTCCCATGGCCAGGTCTACCATGCTCCTGACAGGTGAAACCAAATAAACCTAGAAAATAATATCAGAAAAATGAAGAAAAACTAAAAACCCAAAGAAAAGTGGAAAAAATAATCACAATAAATAAATAAATAAAAACTTAAGTGGGGAAGCGACTAGCACGCAACACGTGACGACACTGGGACGCACCGTGTGGAGCTATGAAGTGCTCCCACAACCATAAATGACCTCTCAAAACCAACATAGAGAGTGTCGGCGTTCTGGGAACGGGGGTCCCCAGACTTGCCTGCCTGCGGCCTGCGGCGTGGCTCGAGTGGTGGCCCAGTACGACCCATCTTCATCAACGCAAACTCAAGACCCTCGCGAGGGGCCAAGCCTCGCGGGGCGGACGACGCAAGGCTTCCTCAGGGGCGGCCTCGCCAGGCAGGCTCGCGAGGAGGCGGAGAGATCAAGGCAGGGGTACCTCGCGAGGTGCTCGTGACGCAAGCCGTGACGATCGAGACCAGGCGGGAGCCAGGCAGGCGCCGGCCTGCGCAGTGTCCTTATTTCCTCTTTGGTGCAAAGGGGGCAAGCACAGGCGTGGAGTACCGAGGCATCAGGCAAAGGTTGCCATTTCGGTGCAACGAGACCAAGACTAGTAGAGCGGCATGATGGAGGTCACTGTGGAGCCCAAGACGGCGTCATTGCCAGTGCCTTTGGCAGCCGAAGACCAACTTTAGTCAGGATAACTTATACTAGATGTTCCCCTTCAAAATGGCCATTGTTGGCGCCATTCCCGCTTAATATTTGGGAAGAAGACCAGGGCCTCTATATATAGGGCTAGCCACCACAGTAGAGGAGAGTTATCATTAGAGGAAGAGGCGATCGAACTCATCCAAGCAGTTCATCGCACCAGCTCAAGAACACCTCTCGCGAGGCAGTTCTTCCCTGTACTGTTCATCATCTGCCCCTGAGGCAATCCACCACACCACACACTAGAGTAGGGTATTACACCACAACGGTGGCCCGAACCAGTATAAATCTTGTGTCCCTCATGTTGTTCATCGTTTAGCTTAGATTCTCGCGAGGCGATCGGACGTGGAGTGGTAGGGGGGAGATCTTTTCGCGCCCCAGAGTTCGAACCTTAAGGGTCTGCCGGAACCCAACATCCGACATTTGGCGCGCCAGGTAGGGGTGCGCCGAAATCTTCCTTCTTCCGTCCTGCATTCCGCCACTTCACCGCCTCCATGTCTGGCGACCCGACGGCCAACTCCGACCGCTGGGCGGCATGGCCGGCCCATGCCGTGCCGCCTGCCCAAGGTGACCTCAACCCCGCACCTCAGGCAGCCCGCGCCCCGAGCGCTGCTGGCCGCGGGCGACGCGGCCAAGCGTCGCCTGCCCTCACTCCGCGGCAGGTACGATCGGCAGCGAGGGCCTCAAGCCATGTTGCGGCCTCGGCGCCGCACACCCGATGGGAGCAGGCGAACATGAAGGCCACGCTCACAGTGCGCGAGAACTGCTGCGGTGCAGACTGCAAGAAAGCGGCCACGACGTGCTGCTGGAGCGCGTCGCCGAGCTCCTGGATGCCGCTGCTTCAGGGGCACCCCCGTTCTGCGTCCAGTTTCCACCCCAGGCCCCGGGCGGATCACGCTGCGGGCCAATCCGTGCCCACGCGCCCCCGGGCGCACCTCAAGGCTTCATCAACGCCAGCCTAGCCATCGGCGCCGGGCGACAAGCCGCGCCGGCACCACCCCTGGTAAGCGAGGGCATGCGCACCACCGCCCACGGCCCTAGCGGCCGCCGCCCTACCGCCCCCAAGGTGGAGCTTCAAGTCGAACTGCATGGCGCGTGGAGCACTACGGCGAGGCCTTTGGGGTGGTGACCCCGGAGGCCTATGTGCCCCACATGGTGGATCGAGAGTACGCACTGGAACAAGACCATGGCTTGTTCCTCGGGCCAGGCTGGGAGGAAGAGGCGCCAGAAGCCGAGCTCTTTCAGGAGCCTCACGGAAGCCTTGACAACCGTGCCAGCGGCAGCAACTATCGGGTACCGCTAATTCCTCAGGAGCAAGCTTATGCTAACCATGGGTCGCAGGAGGTTCAGGTGGTTGCAGCGGATGGTTGCCCCAGTGCAGCAGCCTCCCACCCCTCAGGAGGAGGGCACTGGAGGCAGCAGGAGAGGGGCCGGGAGCCATGCTCCTCCCCATGGCATGCGGAGCAAGGCGTTCTTCGGAGGTAGGCCCTCTGCCGGGGAGGTGCCCCAGGGTCTGCCCCTGGCAGAGGACCCGTGGTCGTCGGAGGAACCGTTGGCGTCCCCTTTTCCCCATTGGCGTCGTCATCGTCAAGGGTGGCGCAAGGCGGGCCCCTCATCTGGCTATATGAAGCAAGGCCGGTACCTGTGAAGAAGGCCCAGTGCCTGTGAAGCTCGCCGCCCGTGACACTCTCACGTAATAATGAGTTGGGGTTGTACACGCCCCGGAGTCTCCGGAGAGCCGCCCTCGGGCCTCGGCGGCTCCCTCCCACGCCCAGTGGCAGCACTTAGCTCCGCGCTGGGGAGAAGACGTCGAAGACTAGACTAGGTGCCGGACGCAGCCTTGTGCTTTTGCTTCTTTTCGTGTGAACAAGCTTTCCCGTTTCGGATCTAATTTGAAGTCGAATTTGTGTTTGTGTATGCGGGAGGGGTGTCGTGTCTTATTCGTGTGCTTTCTTGTGCTCCGATTTCTGTTCGAGTTGGAATTCACACTAACTGCCTCCCTCTCACTAGCCCCTCGTGAGTAGGGCAGGGCCCATCACGTGCGCCCGCCGTCCCGCGGCCGACGTTCCCTCTCGCCAGGCTCTTGCCGCATGGTCAAACGGGACCCTCATGAGGCCCTCGGATGGACGCTGCGAGCCTACTCAAGGCCCACCAA